CCGCCACAGGATAAGTAAGTACACTCCTCAAAGCATGCTTCTCCTCCATTCTTGGGTCGACCGACCAAGTTAATCAAAATATAGATGATTCTTCTGATTATTTAATCGTGTCCGTCCAACATTTTGACCTCCTCAATTAAATAAAAAAAAATCTGACACTTTATTTCAATATATATAACAGCCAACTTCTTTCTTCGTCATTCTGCTTTATCTCGTGTACACGTTTCAAATTTATACACTGTATGTGGTGTCTACTACTGTTAACATATTTTTTATTTGTTATATGGATACACTACTTTTTCTTATAAACAACTACTTTTACATTTTATTTTGGTTTGTAAAACTATTTTTCAACTGCTTTTAGTTTCTAGTGCCTATTGTTGCATATTTTTTATAAAATTTTCATTTCTGAGCAATTAATTCCATTTTTTCTCATATCAAGAACTCCTACATTGATTTCTTATTATTGAAACAATTTCATGTATTATAGTCATGGTATGTGATCATGCACGTCATGCTTTGGAATTGTTGAGAGCAAATAGAGATGAATATGATATAATAATTATTGATGTCAATATGTCTGAAATGGATGGATTTCAGCTACTAGAGATCGTTCAGAATGAAATAAATTTACCTGTAATCAGTACGTTAACAAACTACAACAAAAATTTCAATATTTATTTTATCAACTACTTTTGTTGATTATTTTTTTTTAATTTGATTAATTTTATATGCAGTGCTATCTGTTGATTCTGAATTCGAAGGAGTCCTGAAAGCTATTAACTACGGGGCAGTTGACTATCTCGTTAAACCTGTGCGTATGGAAGAACTAAAACTTATCTGGAGGCATGCATTGCTCAGTGAACAGAGGAGACTCATGTGGAATTATTTTCACATTAATTTAATGCATAAATTATTTTTAAAAAATAAATTAGGGTTAGGGGTTTTTCAATTCTCCATTCATATGGAATTAACACCTTAACTCTAAATTTTTATATGTTGTAGCCTCTGTCTAGGTGAACAATTTAAGCATTTATCGATGTCGTTAACCAACTTGGTATAAAAAGTAAGTATTTTTTAGTCTGATATTATTTATACACTTCAAATTTCTTTCCTGATCTTAAAATATGATTTTTTAATTATCAGAGGCAATCCTTAGAAAAATACTTGATATGATGACAACTCCGGAACTTACTAGAGAAATCGTTGCCAGCCATTTACAGGTTTGCTCATGAAACAAACATAAATATGCATGAATTATATGTTCTTTTTCATTGTTGATTATTGTTTGCTTGTTTTTGACAAAAATCATTTGTTCATTCATATTCTTATGAGTATAATTATGTAAAATAACATTTGTTTGTATTATGCAGAAGTACAAGAAGAGTTTGAAAGTTAATACAATTGGGATTGGTCAACAAACTTTTAATGATACTGGAGCAGGATGTTATGGTGGAACTTCTCTCCCAAAAACTGTTAACAAACTGGATGCCAATTTATATACTAGTAAGTCAAAATATCTTGCATATATTGTAAGATTCCAATCTTTTAATGATCATACTTACAAATGTTCCCCCTGCATGATTCCCTCACCTTTTGAGACAAAAAAAAAAAATTACTCATGCAAACTCGATAATTATGCTTGCGAGCAGGTTCCTGTATGACACAGATTTTTCAAACTTTATGGTCAAGTGAAGGATATATTGAGCCTAATTTAGTTCCCGAGCTTGAACTTATTGTGGAACAAGCAGACATCGACATGTTTTTAAACATGTTTTTAAATTACGAAAATTACGACTTCAGTGATAACAATGGTTTCAATGAGCTTGCCGCAATATTAAAATGTAAGTATTTAAAAGTTTAAAATTTATTTCATATCATGATTTTGAACATATTCTTTTCTAATCTACTATTTTTTTTATTACACAAATCACAGGAAGATCTTGCTCCTCTGCCGCTCCAAGTTGGTGGACCATTTTCTCATCATCTTTATATAGATCTATGATTTTTTTTGTTATTTCAAATCAAAATGGTCGAATTTTATGATATTAGTTGAAGCTTATACTTGTAAATTCTATATAAAGATACAGAAAAAATCAAAATTTGGTATTATTTTGGTTGCCAATCTAATAATTTTTTTATTATTGAATCTTGTGGCTTAATAAAGCTTCTGTAAATATCCTTATATTGTATTTCAGAGTATATCGCAACATTATTTTGTTTTTTCAATTTAGATGCCAAAATTTCGTGCTTGCATTTGAGTGCTGCAAAATGATCTTATTTGATATGAGAAGAATTTGTAAAAATGTATGCATGAGAGAACAAATGCTAAGTAGTTTGAATTGATTGCATGATAAAGATTATAAAATTAATATCATGAAATTACTTCATTTTATATTAAATTTGTATTTTGCATAAAAACCGTATTATCTATTTGTTGTTTGTTTAAAAAATGGCTCTCTAATTGGTAATCTTACTATACATGTTGCTAGCTATTTATAGTGATCCCTCATCCTGACTATAAATTGGACGCTTCAGATACATTTAACTGCTTTTCAATAAAAGAAAATCTATCCAAATAAATTTGTTCGTCGTCAGAGTGCTCATTCAAAAATAAATGGTCTGAAAGGATCACAAAGCACAAATTCTAATGCAAAATGCACATATCAACACAATTTATACTGACGACTCAACATTAGTCTTATTTAAATTATTTTAATCAAAAAATTAGTAAACTAAAAATGGATTATTAGCGTCCTAAACACTTCAACTGGAACTTTAATGACTCTAAACTATCCCAACTTCTCATAATTATATTATAATTGATATAAAATAATTATGTTAATGGTTTTGTTAACATGAGAGATGAATACATACTTAGAAATCATGAATGTTATTGAACGTGCCGAAAAAACTAAATTAAAAGGCATAATAATTTTTATATGATTTGATTTCATAAACCTCTCTCTCTCTCTCTCTCTCTCTCTCTATATATATATATTCAAATGCCACAAGTCACATAGTATCGTTGCAGTCTAAAAATCTCATATTAAATTTATGCAATCAGAGAAACTTTTATAATTTAATTTTCGAACTAGAATGATACTATTTCACTTAATTATAGATATGAATGTAGATTTTCAGCTCTTCAAAACATATTATCATTTGTGTACCGCCGTGTGCCGCTTGTTTGTATATAGAACTCAAAATATTTGTTGGTGCCGATTTATTTGCATAACATACCGAAAATGATTTGTTAGCACACAACGACCCATTTTGATAATCTTAATCATAAAATGTTAAGGA